GAATTCCGCGTCCCAAGGTGGCAAGTTGACAAGTTGCGGAATCTGTTATTCCCGGTCCGCCGGACCAACTTCCTGGTCCGCCGGACCGGGGTCAGTTTATTTTTTTTTTTGAAATTCTTCTCCCAGTCTGCGCGTCTGTTCCCACTCCGACTGAGCGGTTGGTCCGCCGCAGACCATTCCTGGTCCGGCGGACCAGCCCCTTTTTTTTTCTTTTTCCTTTTATTCATTCTTTCTCGGTCCTTTCCGCACGTGACGATTCTCGTGCCTCTCCCCGACATTGTACCATCACTTTTGGTGATTTCGTGATATCTATTTTTAATTATTCATTTTAAAATAATTAAATATTCGAATCGGGTTTCGGGGTATTACAGTAATGCTAGGATAAGTGCTGAGGTCAAACGCTGCTTCAAATTCTCAGAAACTAGCATCGCATTCAGCAGTCCACTCAAACTTGACATTCTTCCCTGTCAGCTTCGTCATAGGTCGGGCTATCTTGGCAAAACCCTCCACAAACCTTCTGTAATAACCTGCAAGCCCGAGAAAACTCCTAACTTCCGTAGCAGAAGTCGGGGGTTTCCAATCCATAACTGCCTCGATTTTTGCCGGTCCACCTGGATTCCTTGGACTGATACAACATGACCCAAGAAACCAATCTCCTGTAACCAGAAACTACATTTGCTGAACTTTGCGTACAGACGGTGCTCTCTCAGCTTATACAAAATCTTTCTCAAATGCTCCTCGTGTATCTGTTGGTCTGGCGAATAGATGAGAAGGTCATCGATGAAGATGATGACAAACTCGTCTAAATATTCCATAAACACGTGGTTCATCAACTGCATGAAGACCGCTGGTGCGTTTGTGAATCCAAAGGGCATGACTACGAACTCAAAATGTCTATATCGGGTCCGAAACGTTGTTTTCTGTATCTCCTCCTTGACCCGGATCTGATGATATCCCGATCGTAAGTCAATCTTCGAGAACCACTTGGCCCCTTGCAGTGGATCAAGTAGCTCATCAATCCTCGGCAGCGGGTACCGATTCTTGATTGTCACTTGGTTGAGCCCGCGGTAATCAATACACAGACGCATACTCCCGTCTTTCTTTTTCACAAAGAGTATCGGTGCTCCCCACGGTGAAACGCTCGGGCGTATAAACCCGTTCTCCACCAACTCGTTCAGTTGTTTTTTCAGCTCTGCCATTTCTGTCGGTGCCATCCGGTACGGAGTCTTAGTAATTGGTTCTGTACCCGGTAGTACATCAATACTGAAGTCTACTTCCCTCTTCGACGGTATCCCCGGTAAATCATCCGGAAATACATCCGGAAATTCCCGAGCAACAGGTGTATCTTCCAAACTCTTCTCCGGTTCTTTACTAGCCGTGATAACCACTAAAAATGCATCGTTGCCCTTTCTGACCATCTTTTCGCTTTCAGCGCCGAGATGATCGGGTCCGTCGATGGTGCTCCTCTTCCTTTAAATTCAAAACCTCCGGAATCTTCTTGAAACCAGATCGTCCTCTAGGGGCAGTCGATATAAGCCTGATATTTCGTCAACCAGTCCATGCCCAGTATGAGGTCATAAACTCCTATAGGTACCACAATAAGGTCTGCTGTCATTCGTCGGTCGCATATGTCAAGGGGTACGCCACGCAGAGTCACCTGAACCGTAAGGGTTTCCCCTGCCGGTGTACGCACTGTAAAGTTACTCATCGGATCGACCTTTCCTGTACCGATTCTCTCCACTATATCCGCGTTCACAAAACTATGAGTCGCCCCAGTGTCAAACAATCTGTAACAGGATACCCCGTATAAGTGAAGGGTACCTGCGATGGTTCTTTGTTACCTTCGTACTTTAACAAACAATGGCTACCCCGAATCAATAAATATATTATACGAGTAGAGGTAGAAGAATACCTGCAATCGCATCTGCCTCGACTCCCTCCTCTTCTTGAAGCTCCCGCTCTGCTTATCGGGCATAAACCCTCGGGGCCACTCCAGCTCCAGCGCAGGTCTCGGTGGTATAGCCGCTTGCGCTTGCGGCTCTGCGGGTCTCACCGTACAATATGTCGCATAGTGTCCTGGCTGCTGGCACCGATAGCAGACAGGTGGCCCTCTCCGAGGTGGCGGAGGTAATGCCTAGGTGACTGGCGCCTTACCCTTGTCTTGCACTCGGCTGCTCTGGCCAGTCTGACCAGTCTTCCCCGGCAGACGCGTATAGGGATGACGTCTAGGAGGACTTCGGTCACGGGCCCTACTGGCTCTCTCCTCCTTTTCCGCTTCCTCTACTTTCTCCAGCTGGTCAATGCAATGGCTCAGAGTTCGGAACTCCTGGAGCGTGACTCTCCAGCGGAGTGAGGGTCGTTGTCCCACAACGAACTTAGTGATCTTCTGACTCTCTAGGGGCACCAGATGCGCCGAATGCTTAAGCATGCGTATGAATTCAGCTTCGTACTCCCTCACAGTCATGTTCTCTTGCTGCAGGTTCAGGAACTCAGAGAGGCGGCTTTCTTGATTCTGTCGACGGTAGTACTTCCTCTCAAATTCCTCCCAGGTGAAACGATGTCTGTCCGGCATCCCCTGTACCACCTTCTCCCACCAATGTCGAGCTTGCTCGGACAAGTGATGGCTCGCTAGTAGCGCTCGATAACGTGGGGGACATTGAACATATTCCAGGTCTCGTGTGATGCACGTCATCCATTCTTCTGCAGCCTCGGGATCCAATGATCCTCCGAACCTTGGAGTGTGCATGGCCCGTAACTCCCGAACAATAGGTAGGTAGCCCCCTGCCGCTGTCAGTGCAGGTAGCGGCGGAGGCACGTCCTCCCCCATAGGTTCCGGACCTCACGCTGGGGGGTGGGAGATGTGCCATCAAGGTTTGTATCATGGTCTCCTGGAATGCATGAAATTCATTTCGTATCTCCTCCTGAAATTTCCTAAACTCCACAGCCTGGGGAACATGGTTGGGGACATTGTTGTCTCTCGTCGTAGACTGAGCACATTGTGGCGCCATTTCACTGCACCACGGTTAAGGTAGCATTAGCGGTGACCTCAGACAACACATCGTATGTACGGTTCTTTGCAAATAATTTTTCTTGGGACATGGTTTTCGAAAATATTTTCATTGTAAAAATCCTAAGGTAGTGAGGCGTTCTTTCTCGTGGAAGGAACGTTGCTCTGATACCAAAAGTTGTGACACTTGTATCCCGATTCCCGTCACAGGATGTGCCACATGGACTAAAAGCAATAAAATATTACAAAACTACAATAACGGAATTTTTAAAACCGTTTTAATATTAAACACGCAGCGGAATTAAACAACAGTTAAGTCTTAAAACACACATGTCTGAATTGAAAAGGTACAACCGTACAAACATAGAAATCGTATCCCATAGTTCAAATCATACAATAAGGAAAACCCCGTACACGATGCTGTCTCTTCGAAGTCCACCTCAATCATGCTACTCGTGCTCCTCGTGATCTGAAAAAGGTGAAACCACGAGGGCTAAGCACAACTGCTTAGTGAATGACCCGGCCGGTCGGATCCGATAAACTCGTTCCCAACGAGAACGGTATTAAAACGATAAAACACAAAATTTATTATTCAACGTTAAACATATATTCATATCATATTAGAACATCATCATATCAATTCCCGTATAGCTTCACACCCTCGAGCTAGCCGTAAACCCTGGTCACTTCTCATGACCAGGAGCGCCTCTCACGCCCGTCACATCTCATGACGTTGGTCGTCGCATCTCACGACAATCAAGTATGTATGGCTTCGCACCATAGAGTTAGCCGTAAACCCTAGTCACATCGCATGACTAGGAGCGCATCTCACGCCCGTCACATCTCATGACGTTGGCCGTCGCATCTCACGACAACAATGTGCCTCACGCGCACGTCACTTCTCGTGAAGATCGATGTCACTTCTCGTGACCCATCGGAGAATAAACCTAATCATCATACAACGATTCACTCGGTGTATGTCGCACATCTCACCACGCATTCAAATTATTGATTTATTCCGATTCTTCCCTTTTTCGTTTTGTCGTGTTCCGGCTCGTTTTTCACATAGTTTGGTCATCCCAAGGTTTATATTTCATCCCAAGGCCTTTTTGGCTCAATTTCATCACTTTTGTAGTCTGGATCGGTCGGTCCAAGCATTCCCTGGATCAGGACCGGTCGGTCCAGACAATTTCGGGCGTTTCCGGCATTTTCAGGGTCTGGACCGATCGGTCCAGAGTCTAGAGACAGATCGCGATTTCGTGATTTCATCCCAGATTTCGGTTCGACTTCGTTGGCTCATAACATACTCATTTCTTGTCCAAATTGGGCGCCGTTTGTTTCTAAATGTTCATCGAAATGTCCTCTTATGATTCTAACTATCAATTTATTCAATTATCACACCTATTCTAGGTAATAACCCGAAAGTCTCGGATTTAGAACGAGTTTGCATTTTTCTCTGAAATTTACAGTTTTTCTTCGATTTTCAAACTTTCATATCTTACTCGTTTCTACACCAAATCGAGTGTTGTTTGTTTCTATGTGTTCATTGAACTTACACTTTCTAATCATGCCCAGGTTTCATCGAATTAATACCATAACAACGATGAAAATGAACTCACACAGAGGCAACTCGAGCCACTCACCTCAAACCAGGACTGTTTCTGGTTTTGCCCGGAGTTGATGGAGTTTTCTGGCAATTCCGACGATGGCGATCCTCTCAGACGTCCTAGGGTTTCCTGTTGTCACTTCCCCGAGCTCCTTTCCTCTTCTCTCCCTCTTTTTCTCTTCCTCTCTCTCTCTTTCTTCTCTTTCTGCTGGGTTCTTCTTCTGCAGAGGAAAATGGTTGAGGTGCCATCTTTGCGGAGGTTTTTCATAGACAAGGAGGAGTCACATGGGCATTAGCTCATTCCCACTGTAAAGCCTGCATCGTGGAGGGTCCGGGGGTGGCCACGACGCGTCATTTGGTGTCCTACGCGCTGAGAAAAGCCTGTCTGAAGTCGGCAACTCGAGCTGGATTTTCTTATGTCTGTCGGGCTGGACCGGTCGGTCTGCCTCTTAGACCGGTCGGTCCAGACGTCCTGTTTCCCGTGTTTCATCGTTTTCTCATCTCTTTCCCGGTATTTTAAAGTCCATTTTTAAGGTCTTTAAGGCCCGTAGATCGAATTTTTCTCTTTCCGGAAACTAATTAAAAATTTTGAATCTGGATTCGGGGTATTACAGTCAAGTAGTTCTTTTCATCACGAGGTCTAAATACATCTTTATTAACATCTAATGACTTTATTACAATGAGAGTACTTAATGGATGAGTTTTATTCATATAAAATCTTTTAAGTACTTTTTCCAAATAAGTAGATTGATGTAAGAAAACTCCTCTTTTAGATATTCAATTTGAAGACATAAACAATATTTTGTTTTCTCAAATTCTTTTTTTAAACATTTCACAACTTGTAATAACTCTTCAGGAGAACCATGATATTTAAATCATCTACATAAACAGAAATTATAATGAATTTAGATCCTATGGTTTTTATGAATACACATTGACATATAGGATTATTATTATAACCTTCTTTTATTACAAATTCGTTAACGGTTATGCCACATTCGTTCTGATTGTTTCAATCTATACAACGTTTTGTTTTACTTTACCGAGTAAATTTCCCGGGAATTATCAATATGTGATTCAGACACTTTAAATCCTTAAGGGATTTTCATATAAATATTATGATTTAATGATCTATACAAATATGTTGTGACTACATCCATGAGGCGCATTTCAAGTCTTTCATATACTGCCAGACATATTAAATATCAAAATATTATTGTATCCATGATAACTCTTATTTTTCTCTATATTTTTATGAGAGTTTGTCTAAGTTTTATAGTATAATCACATGCATTTATAGGCATTCTAGGCGTGTTAGGACACAAAATCCGGTTGCACTTTAGTTTTGTAGAGTTACATGTTTCAAAGATGATTGGACTAAAACAGGAACACTTTTGGAGTTTTAGAGATGAAGTTCAGAAGAGACATGCATTACGAGCTCAATAACTTTCTCCACAGAAGTCTAAATGATGCATGGTGTATACCATTGGAAAGAGTATTTAAATAACTTTGCATAGACGTCAAAAACATCAAATCCGACATCGGAGTAGAAAGTTATGGACAAAATCGTGAAGCCTAAAATTTCAGAGGTCTAAACCGGATCAATTTAATCTAAACCGGACCAAACGAAAAGAAACTCTAATTTCGCGATTTTTTAGAGTCTTAATGGAAAAAGGACTCTTGTGAGCTACCCTAGGGTTATAAAAAAGGCCTAGACACATCCTAGAACAAGAGAGAAGACTTAGAGACATACTTTGGAGATCTTTTGGTGAGAAAAGAATAGAAGTTCACGGGATTTCGGGAAGAATAAGGAAGATTCGATCGTGGAGACTACACATCGACATGAACTTTTCTATCCTTTCTTTCATCTCTTTTTCTCTGTACTTTTTATTATTTTCTATGAACCATGAGTAGATCCACGACTATGGGTTAGGGATTCGTTTGTGTTTTGGGTATGTTTGAACCCTAACTTGGATTTTGACGTTGTGCTTGTTTCGGTTTATCGATTTATGCATTCTTTTCTATTGGTGTTTGCTGACCACTTGGCCAATAATTTTAGATTCTGAATCACATAGAGATATGGGTTTAGTTTCGGATCAAAATCGATGAATGAATTGTATTATTCACATAGAGATATGGTTTAATCGATTTAGGATTGATGATAGCATTCTTCATGCATTTAGGGTTAACTTGAATAGATTGAGAGATTGATGAGTTATTCTAGGTAGTGAGTTGGTAGACCGAGAGGTGAATTCTCTATCTTTGTAGCTTGATGATTCCCGAATACAAGTACGATGTCGTTATTCTCGCATGCTTAGCATATACCCATACACGCGAATACGGTCCCGACACCCATGGTCATCGTTGCTTGATAGTTCCCACGTTTTTTATTTGCTTTCTTATCTTATTTGCCATTGATTCCACATATTTTCACCATCACTTCCACTTGCTTGCTTTGATTTGGTTTCGATTAGGGTTTAGATTTAGCTACTGGTCCTTGCATTCAATCCTGTGTTACGACGATCCGTATCCTTGCAGTGAGTTGTGAATCGGGTTATAAATTCTAGACTCGGTACACACGTATCAATCCACACAGGAGAATATATCTCTTCATAATCAATACCGGGTATTTGGATAAAACCTTGTGCAACAAGTCGTGCTTTATATCTGATAATTTTATTTTGTTCATTTCTTTGTCGTATAAATACCTACTCGTTTAATGTCTTTCGGTGTTTGGACTATAGGTCCAAAGACATCTCGTATGTTAAACGAGTCTAATTCAGACTTGATTGCCTCTTTCCATTTTGGCCAATCATTTCTATTTCTACACTCTTCTATAGAGGTAGGTTCATGATCCTCATTTTCGTTTATGATATCGCGCTCTATATTATATATAAAAATATTATCGAAAATTATATTGTTTCGATCCAATCATTTTTCCGTAGTGACGTAGTTAATCGAGATCTCTTCATTTTCATTAACTGTAGGTACCTAATTCTCTTCATTATTAACTTTGTCAACGGTCTCTTCTAGAGAAATATCCTCATTTTTATCATCATAATTGTTTGTTCCTTTCCTTTTCCGAAGATTTTTATCTTTGGAACCAATTGGTCTACCACGCTTCGGGCGTACCTTAGACTCACTAGCAATCGTAGGTTGCTCTTTATGTACATCAATTCTAATCGGAGCATTTACAGCTGGAATATGAGATTTTGTTATTCTTTTGTGGTCAATAAATGCATCTGGCAGTTGATTTGCAATACCTTGCAAATGAATTATCTTTTGAACTTCTTGTTCACCATTCTTTTGTTCGAGGATCTAAACCTTTTAATGATAATTCATTCCATGATAGCTCGTTTTCCAGTTATATTATTTCCCCTTAACGTTAGGAATAATGATTCAACAAAGTGACAATCTGCAAATCTTGCAGTAAATAAATCTCCAGTCATTAGTTCAATATATTTGATTATAGATGGAGACTCATATCCAATATAAATCCTCATCCTTCTTTGAAGTCCTATTTTTGTGCGTTGTGATGGACTAATCGGAATATATACCGCACATCCAAATGTTCGTAAATGGGAAACATTTGGTTCCTAACCGTGAACCAATTGTAACGGGAAAATATCATTATAACTTGTTGGTCTGACGCGTATAAGTTATGATGTATGTAGAACAACATGTCCCTTTGCTCTTATAGGGAGGTTAGATTTTATAAGCTTAGGTCTCGCAATCTATTGGATTCGTTTTATAAATGATTTCGCCAGACCATTTTGAGTATGAACATAAGCTACAGCATGTTCCACTTTTATCATAACCGACATACAATAAGTTATAAATGATTGGGACTAAATTCACCAACATTATCAAGTCAAATTGTTTTTATCGGATAATCAGAAAAATGTGTCCGTAATAGTATTATTTCTATAAGTAATCTTATGAAAGCCAAATTACGAGATGATAATAAACACACATGTGACCATCGAGTTGATGCGTCAATCAGAAACATAAAATATCAAAATGGTCCACATGGTGGATGAATTAGGCTATATATATCACCATGAATTCGTTCTAAAAATGTTAATGATTCATTTCTTATCTTAGATGGTGAGAGCCTTTTTATCAATTTTTCTTTAGAACATGCAACATAAGAGAATTCATGGGATTGAAAAATCTTCTAGTTTTCCAATGCATGACCACATGAATTTCTTAATAATTTTTCGCATCATCGTTGAACCATGATGGCCTAATATGTCATGTCAAACTTTAAATGTATTTCTAAACTTCTTTACATTGTCAGTAAATTTTGAGTTTACTGTATTATATGATTCACTCATTCTCATAGTTATATAATATAAACCAGATGAGAAAAGCATATAATTTTTCTAACATATATCTTTCGCCCGTCATAATTGAGGTAATACAACGATATTCCATATTTTCTTCATTCATAGTCTCAATATGATATCTATTAAAACAAATATCTTTAAAACTTAACAAACTTTTTTAAGACTTAAGCGAAAATAATGCATTTTTTATCATGAGTTTTGTGCCATTTGACGTAATAAAACTTGTTCTCTGGAGCCCTCAATTATCTTTGCACATCCTGATATCGTATTGATATGTGCTTAACCATTTCTCAAATTCGAGAAATATTTCTTATTTTAAGAATAGTGTGTGTTGTCGCACTGTTTATAAGACATATCCTCAACTTGGGTCTCAAATTGATATTTATCCATAATCTATAAAGAATAATACTCCATCTGTTTCAAAATAATTTTTGTTTTAGGTTATTTCACATTTTTTAAGAAAAGAGAACAAAATTTACATATACCCTTATTTAATGATAAAAACAATGTTACCATTAATAACTTATTGGAATTTGATAGAGACAAAATTGAAAAATATTGTAAACAAATGTCTTGAAAATGTAGAATGACAAATATTTTGAAACATAGAAAATAACTTAAAACTATAAATATTTTGAAACGGAGGGAGTAATAAATATTGAATAAACTAAAAGCAATAGAAATTATATATCAATACCAAATAAGATAATTAAAACTATGAAATAACCGAATGATAAATATAAATATTAGACAGAATTATAACTTTTCTGATACACAAGATCGATATATATGGCGAGTGTAGAGCATAGTTAGTTATAATAATTTTATAATATGATATATGAAAAATATGTAAATGAAATAATAATAAAATTATTTCGAATAGCTTCGTGCTGATAACGTGTTGTAAAAATAATAATAAGTAAGAATGTTAAAAAGAGATATGAAGAAGGGAGAGTGTTTGTTTTATTCTTTCTTGTTTTGGTATATTTACAAATGGGATTACAAATGCCTATTTATAGGCTTTAGAAAATGAAATAACATCATTTGAATTAATAAAAAAAGAGTTATATGAGTAAATTAAATATAGACATTAATCACACTTTTACATTTATTTCTTAACAATGGTAATAAATTTTAATTTTTAATTCTAATAAAGAACAATATGTCAACAATTCAAAACAAATTAAAATTAAATATAATAGCATATCTTAAATAATTTCCATTACTCCTTTATAGTATGTCTTAGTATATGACCACCAACAATTTTGTTTTTATCTATCCTTTGATATTCATCTATATACTACAATCTACATGCTACATAACAAAATTAGAAACTCGTAAAACGGAAAAAAAAAATGTTTATGTAATTTTGGAAAATTTTATCTTTTCTTGTGTCATTTTAATAATTTCTACACGCGAAAAAAGTCATCAAAATGATCTGATGAGTTCATGTATTCGGCTTCAAAACTAATATATTTATACACAAATGGTATTCGGATTCAACATCGGTGTCTTAGATGAAGCAGTCCGCCACTATGAGATCATATTAAATAAAAAAACTTTATATGTTTATAATCAATTATTACGAATTAGGATAAAACTACAATTGATTTGTTCTATTCATGTGCCAATATGTGCACTCACATTGAGAAGTTGACCTTCACCTCTAATTGTAATTATATAATCTCCTAATTAGCCGGTCGTTTTCATCAAATAAAATAAAAAGACAGGCAGACAGGGAAATTAAAATAAAATTACGAAATTTAACAAACCATTTCTGAAGAAATAAGCTTCAAGTGGACCTTTATATATATATATATATATATATATATATATATATATATATATATTCAAGAAGTTATATATGTGTGCATAGATACAAAGAGTTGAAAGTCTAAGGAAAACAAGAGAAAGAAGTAAATAACAAATTCAAAGTTTCGTATAGAGTTTCAGAAAATGAATCGTTTCTTCTTCGTCTTCGTTCTCTCCTGCCTTCTACTGGTAAGAAAATTCTCCTTGTTTTTTTTCCTCTGATACGAATATATACGTATATATATTTCATAATGTGTATATATATATATATGTCAATATGTGCGTGTATGCGATTGATTTATGTTATTGGAACAGTTTGGAGAAATTAATAAATTAAAAGGAGAACCGCAAGAGTATTGGAGGAAGGTGATGGGAGAAGAACCTTTGCCGGAACCGATCAAAGAGTTCATGAACAATCCGTTTAGGACAAAACAGAAGAAGTTCATCAACAACTTCGATACCAAATCCACCGTACTAATATACCACAAGACTTAATGGATCAACCATGAAATCATATATACACTCTCTCTCAAGAACTCTTGATTAGGTCAATTTGGAGAGTTTTGGAGTGTCATTAATTTGTGTTGATAATGTATTATATAGGATTTTAATTTATCGTTCTTTGTGGTGTTCTTTTTTTTAAGGGATTTTATAGAAATATGAATTTGGTTGGTGTGTTACTTTATGTAAGCTCTCTTTGCTTTGTAAGCAATGATGTGTTGTTGAAGATTGTTATACTCAAAATCTTAAGGGTAGTGTATATATAAAATCTTATCCCAATGGTATAATGACGTATATAACATATAAAAACTTAACTTACATGCATTGATATATATTGATAGGAACTGATTAGAGATGTCAATTTGGTTTCGAAATCCGAAGCCGGATCCGAGCTCATCTGAAAAATAACGGGGTTCAGATTTAAAAATTAAGGTCCGAAAAATTTTGGAGTTTGAATCGGGCTTAAATCGGGCTCGAACTTTTTCAGGTTAAATTCTAGGGACTTGGAACCAACATGAAAGCTGATTTTTTTTTTGAAAAAAAATTAGTTAAAAACATATAAATTTGATTTTTTATATGAATTAAGTAGACCGATCCGATCTGTTTTGAGTCTGATCCGAACCCGAATTTTATAGGACTAGACTTCGGATTTGATTTATTAAGCCTAGAAAAATCGGACCGGCTCGAATCCGACCCAAAACTTTCGGGTCGAGTACGATTGACACTCTTAGAACTGACACAATTATTTTACCAATATATATTTGATGTAGTTCAAATCGAAAACTGCATATCTTTATACTATTAAAGTTAGAATAATGTACACATAATAACCACGAGTTTAGATACCAATTTACATTTGTTTTATTCAAAATTGGATACTTGCGGTTATTTGAAAAAATTACAAAATTTTTTAGATTTATTAAAAATTTTAAAATTATTCTTGATAAGTTTTTTTTAAATTACGAAATTGTCTCTGGTATATCTGGAAAATTATAAAGTATCTCTATTTTTATATAAAAATACAAAATTAATTTTTTCCAAGATTCGAATTACCATACCACAATATATGATGAACTATGTATTAATATGGGTACGTTTTCATATTATATATACCTTTTTTAAAAAAAAATCAATGAATTTAGATGAAATAAATATTTGTTAAATTTTACTTTATGAGTTATTACCTATTTTTTGTACTAGTTTGAATCATTATCAGATTAAAAATTAAGGCCAAATATTTTTATAACAATTTAATCATTATTTGATTAGTTTTGGAGGGTCAAAATTTTCCATCCCTGCAAAATGTACACATTTTACATCATTCGTAACTACGTGACGTTTGGCTAATAAACAATGAGAACGCTCGACGTTCGTCTGCACGAAACCCGACACGAAAGCTGCTTGTGGTTTCCACATGGTCATACCGACTCAGGTAACGTGAACGAAGTCATTTCGATTCCGTTTTTCGTTCTTCACATCTCAGCGAAGAAGAACCCTAATTCAGTCTTCAGACATCCATCAATGGCTTCGATGCTACCTCGCAGGTCTCTTAGTGCTCTTCGCGCCCAATATCTCGTAAGAAGCGAGCTCTTTCGCTTTGATTTTTTTTCTGTTTGCTCCCTGTTTCCTCCCTTTTTTTTTTTCATTTGCTTGTTTGCCGAGAAAATGCGAGAAATCATCTGGAATTTTGAAACTTAAGATGGATGCTGTCTATATTGGATCATTTCCATGTTCTCGTTTTAGTCGGATTATTCGAGTGGATGTGTTAGATGAGATTGATTTGTGTGTCATAGTGGGATTCGGATTTGGTTCTTCTGTCGGAAATCGAACGAAGCTGTTTGATTTTCGACAGAGGTTAAAACCTTTGGTTAGAATTTGTGAAATCCGAATTGTGAAGTGTATAAGACGAAGGCTTGGGGAACGCTCATAGACTGATCTATTTTGGGTTCCCAGCTCTAGGGGCTACCGTTTTATGAAACTTTAGATTTTGCTTATCATTTTCATTTTTCTTATGATTTGATGCTATTCCCGCCTCCCGGAGAGGCCAAGAGGTTATCATAATCTTCTTGTTTCATTCTTAGGAAAATCTCAGCTGTCTGACTGGGATCGTACTTAGTGAACATATATCTCAGCTGTCAGATTGGGATCATTTCGATAGTTAAGTTACGTTTGTGTAGATTGACTGTTCTTTCTCCTACTCATTGTGGTGCATATGATACATAATTTCTCTCTTATTTGGTGTTGCCTCATCTTCATTGATAGGCGGTGTCAGGACAAGGTTTTCAGGGCTTTCATGTTTCCGGGCTGCAGTCTCGGGCTATGTCGTATGGCACCAAGAAAGGTCTGTCCCCTTTTTATTTTTCCCTTGGTTTTCTACGGTATCGCCATAAGACCCGCATTGATATATGGTAGTGAATGTTGGGCGACGAAAGGACAACATATGTCTAAAATGAGTGTGGATGAGATGAGGATGTTAAGATGGATGTGCGGATATATAAGGATGGATAGAATTAGGAATGAGACTAATAGAGAGAAAATAGGAGTAATAGGTATAGAAGAGAAGTTAAGAGAGGGACGTTTAAGATGGTTTGAACATGTACAACGTAGGCCGATAGATGCACCGGTTAGAAAAGTGGAGAATATAGGAATGGGGGTGAAGAGAAAGGGAAAGGGTAGACCTCGGCTTATTTGGAAACGTGTAATTAGGAATGATATGAAATTGTTGTAAATTCCGAAAGAGCTAACGCAAAACTGAAATGAGTGGAAACGAAGAATTCATACGGCCGATTCCAGATAAACTTGGAACTAAGGCGATATTGATGATGTTGATATATGAATCGGGTTTCTAAAATGCGACTACATATTTCTCTGAAATCTGGTTATATATTTATGGCATGAACTGGCATTTTGAAGGAGCGACTATTGTTGGTCACTAACTTGTATTACTAATTTTGCCACTTCATTGAGGAGTGCATATTAATTCATGGATCGTCTCGACTCTCTCTAACTTGCAGATGATGAAGAAAGGGAGCAACTTGCTAGGGAGATCTCCAAGGACTGGAGTTCTGGTAAATTTATTTAGCCTCGGCATCCTTTTTTTAGCCTGTTTTCTTTATCTTTGTCCTGATTATTTCTTCGTTAAAGTATTGGTGATTCCTGACATCTTCTGTTTTTTCAGTCTTTGAGAGGAGTATAAACACCCTATTTCTCACCGAAATGGTCCGGGGTTTGTCGCTGACTCTCAAATACTTCTTTGAGAAAAAAGTTACCGTAAGTGGAGATCTTTCCCAGTCTTCAGAGAATACAGTGAAAGAACAATTTATGATTGTGAAGGTATTCTCTCGTCACGCAGATAAATTATCCATTTGAGAAGGGACCATTGAGCCCTCGCTTCCGTGGTGAACATGCTCTTCGAAGATACCCAACTGGTGAAGAACGCTGCATTGCTTGTAAACTCTGTGAAGCTGTAAGTTTGATTTCTACTCTATGATTTAGGACTCTCTTCTCTGCGTAGAGGTACCCTATTATTGTGGACACCATGGTTTAGGGTAATTGTTAGAACTTTTAACTCTGTGGAAGGCTGGCTCTACTGATTCAAACTGAGCATGATGATGATATGTTCCTTTTCAGTCGGCCAAATTATTTAAACATTACCTAGATCTACTTTGAATCCCCGAAACTCTGGATCAGGTGGTGCTCATATATATCAATATAATGAGTTCATCTATGTAGTAGTTGCTATCATGGCTTATCTCTTTGGATGGCTCTGAAATTAAAAACGGGAGTTATTGGGCTTGTTATCAGATATGTCCAGCTCAAGCAATCACGATAGAGGCGGAGGAGCGAGAAGATGGAAGCCGTAGAACCACCAGGTCGCGACATCTCTATCTCTCTATATGTATATATGTATGTGGGTATAATAACTTGACTGATGATGGGAACCTCAACAGGTACGATATCGACATGACAAAGTGCATATACTGTGGTTTCTGCCAAGAGGCTTGCCCCGTCGATGCAATCGTCGAAGGTCCCAACTTTGAATTCGCAACTGAGACACACGAGGTCCGTTACCATTACAACAACGACAACAACATCGCCATTACTCTCGAAAAAAATCATTTCATGGACATTAGCACAACTCTTTCTGAATCGGATCATATTATATTTGTATAGGAACTTCTGTACGATAAAGAGAAGCTGCTGGAGAATGGGGACCGATGGGAGACAGAGATCGCTGAGAATCTCAGGTCGGAAAGCCTTTACCGTTGATTATTATTATACTCTTCTAAGTTTCGTTTCTTCTGCTTCCAAAATAAAAAGGATGAGATTTCGATATGCAAAAAACCGATACTATGCCATATCCTTTTCACTATTCTCTCCTTTTGCATCTTCTTGCGGTTTTTTTTTTTTTTTTTTTTTTTTTTTTGTGAATCTCTTTTGTGTTGTTTTAGATTCAGCCTTTGTGTGATGCTATATTCTTATTTTCATATCTGAAATTTTAATACTCTTTTGACTTGGTGGATTTTGTCAGAAAAGAAAGTAGGTTTAGGGGGTTCATCGATTAGTACACCTCTGGTGTTTTTTAAATAATCAATTAGATATATTCAATTATAGAGATCCGTAGAACCTACTCGATACAAAAGGTGATTATAATTGTTTTAAAGTCGAAAAAACGAATTCGGAATGAATAGAATAAAACAAAATTTGAAAAAACCCAATTTTGTTTTAAATGAATTATCAATAGAAATCGTAAACCAAGTGAACCCGATTGAATTAAAATAGCATTGAACATAATTCAGTATAAAAATAAAATGGTTTATATTGTAAATACACGAGTAGACATTTAGATTCTTCTTCATTATAAAGAAATCGACATTTCTCCACGAAGAAATTTCTTATATTCATCTATAAATAAATCAGTGATATAGTTCAGTTGTAACATACGAAATACGAAGAAACTTTATCTTTCCTCTTTATCATACTCTCCCTCCTTCTTTAGTATTCTACTATTGCTTTTCGCTTTCGTTTTCATCACGTTATCAGCACGAAACTCTGCCAAGACAGAGGTATAAAAAAAAATATCATATAAAAGATAATGTATTTATCAATTCCTATTTATCTTCAGTTTCATTATATATAGACCTTGGCAGGCTCAGCCACTGGTCAATAATATAAAACTAATCGCATATATTTTATATTACATTCATATAGACTTCGCAGACTCAGTCACCAATCAATGATATGAATGTTTATAAATATTGTATTATTCATAATGGTTGGTTATACCACCTGTAAAATATTCGAATATTTATAAATATTGCTATTATTATCATAATGGTTGGCTATACCACCTAAATATAAATATTATTGTGAAGGATGACAATGCCACCCCATTATATTTTTATCATTCTAACTATTTATATAATATTATTATTATTTCTGTATGTATGGATGACTATGCCACCTGATAACTCCTAATTCTCTCTATATTTTCAGGGCGTTTCTATAGTATTTATATGAGGATCATATTCATTTATAGGCATTATAGGCGCGTTAGGCTACGAAACTCGGTTTGGTTGTGTTTTTATTGGATTACAGGTCTTGGATGAGATTTGGACCAAGATGGAAGCAATCTGGAGCTAAAAGGATTGAAATACATCAAGAACTTCCTACCTTGACTCGGCCAAAGTCAACAACAGAAATTGGGCCGAGTCAACATGCTGAAAAGGGTCCAATTCAAGCCTGTTACGAGGAGACCGAGTCAGAACGTCCGAGTCAGTTTACCCCAAGTCAACATGCCCGAGTCAGAAGGCCCGAGTCAGAAGATTGGGCTGGGCCGAATTTATTATGTCTCGTTTTGACTCGGTCGAGTCAGAGTACTGACTCGGTCCGAGTCAAAACCCAGAAAAAAGCCCAGATCGAATTTTCAGAATTGGAACGGGAGTAGGACTTCGGGAGTGCCGCCTAGGGTTGATAAAAGGACTCTACAGACGTCCAAAAGAGACAAACAGACTTTACACAGACTTTGGAGAGCTTTGGTGAGAGAAATAGGAGTAAAACGGGATTTCGGGAAGAAGAAGGAGAGCTGGAACGTGAAGAACGCATTGCTGTCGACATGAGCCTTTCTTCTCCCTCTTTTCTTTCTGTTTCTAGTTTTTCTCAATGTTTTTCCATGAACCGTGAGTAGATCCACGGCTGTGGGTTAGGGATTCGTTTCTGTTTTGGGTATGTTTGAACCTTAACTTGGTTGCGATTTGGATTTGTTTCGGTTTTATCGATTTGTGCTTTATTCGATTGGTGTTTGCTGACCCCTTGACCAATTGTTTCAGATTCTGAACTACATAGGAATATGGGTTTAGTTTCGGATCAAAATCGATAGGATAGATCGTATTATTCACATAGGAATATGGTTTGATCGATCTAGGGTTGATGATAGTGTTCTTCATGCATCTAGTTTGATAAATCACATAGGGATATGGATTTAGAAAACCTTAGATAGTGAGTTATATGCTGGAAGGTGATTTCTCTATTTTTGTTACTTGATGATTCCCGAATACAGATTCAATATCGTGATTCTCGCATGCTTAGCATATACCCATACACGCGAATACGGTCCCGACACCCACGGTCATCTTTGCTTGATAGTTACATGTTTTTATTTGCTTTCTTATTTTAGTTATTTTAGATTCTACATACTTCCACCATTACTTTCACTTACTTGCTTTGATTTAGTTTCGATTAGGGTTTAGATTTAGCAACCAGTCCTTGTGTTCGACCCCATGTTACGACGATCCGTATCCTTGCGGTAAGTTGTGAATCGGGTATAAATTCTAGACTCGATACACACATATCAAGTTTTTGGCGCCGTTGCCGGGGACGCTGAATAAAGCTGATTGGAGTTTAGAGAACACCTCGATGGTGGAGATGAAGCCCTTACCCGAAGGGCTCAGGTATGTTTTCCTTGGACCTAACTCGACTTATCCGATTATAGTGAATGCTGCATTGCTGGAACCCCAGGTAGAACAGTTGAGTGATTTGCTTAGACATTATAGGGGTGTTCTTGGATATACTTTGGATGATATTAAGGGACTTAGCCCTTCATTATGCATGCATCGTATTCACTTAGATGATGAGTCGAAATCTTCTGTTGAGCATCAGCGTAGATTGAATCCGACGATGAAAGATGTAGTTAGGAAAGAGGTGATGAAGCTGTTAGATGCGGGTATTATATACCCTATTTCGGATAGTACGTGGGTGAGTCCTGTGCAGGTTGTACCCAAGAAGGGAGGCATGACTGTGATCCAGAACGAGAAGAACGAGCTTATTCCTACGCGGACAGTCACGGGATGGAGGATGTGCATCGACTATCGTAAGTTGAACTCCAACACCCGTAAGGATCATTTTCCTTTGCCTTTTATTGATCAGATGTTAGAGAGACTTGCACTCCACTCGTACTTTTGTTTTTTAGACGGTTACTGAGTGTATACGACATTCCCTTTGACACCCTAGAGATGCAGATTGCGAAGATGGCCAAGGCAAGAGGGATGTCAGGAGATAGTATCAGACGCTCTACAGGACGGGTAGATTTGGGCGAGTCCGCTGCTTTGAAAGCGGTTATGTCTGATTTATCGGCAATCAAGCAGCACATGGGACTCAAGAATACATCTAACCCGCCGAAAGTCCAGCCTGGCATGTTTCTGGTTGATCAGGCAGCATCAGAGGAAGAACCGGTTGAGGATGTCAACTATGTAGGAAGGAATCAGTACCAGAATCCTTCCAATCTCTACAACCCGAACGCGCCTAGAAACCATCCTGGTTTCTCCTACGGAAACCCGAGCGGAGCATTGAATGCACAACAACATGGCGTTTCCAGAGTCCCTCAGAATCCCCCGGGCTTCACTCAGTCACGTTTTCAGGGGCAGAATCAGGGATATGCGCAACAGAATCCAGGATACGGACAGCAGAATCAGGGTTACCGAGCTCCTCCACCGGCAAAGAACGATGAAGCAGACATCAAGACAATGCTTGCCCAACTAATGCTCGATCAGAAGACATCGTTTACGGAGCTGAAAACCGAGGTACAGAGCATAAGGGAAAGACAGGATACCTTTGAGAGGAGGCTTGACGGGATGGATGCACATATGAAGCTAGTGGATACACAGATCGCACAGCTTGCATCACAACCCTCTAGGGAGCAGGGCACATTTCCTGGGAAGCCCGAGCCAAATCCACGAGAGCATGTAAGCGCTGTTGAGCTGAGGAGTGGAAAGAATCTGCCAGAGACAGTCCCTACGGAAAAAGGGACGACGTCTAGATACACTGCCGAAGAGAAAGGAAAAGGCATAGCAGATGAGACACCTCGGGTGAAAGCAGAGGAAGCCGAAATGCCATACGTCGCTCCTCCACCTAAGGTACCACCCGTTCCTTTTCCTTCTCGACTGAAGAAGCATGTTGAGGATACACAGTTCTCGAGATTTGCTGATATGCTTCAGAAGCTAAAGGGTTACTATACCGTTCTATGAGGCTATGCTGCAGATACCCTCTTATTCGAAGTTTCTGAAAGATATCTTGACCAAGAAGAGGGTAATTGGGAAGGAGACAGTAGCCTTGAGCACAGAGGTGAGCGCTGCGATTATACAGCATGAGCTGCCACGGAAGAGATCAGATCCTGGTAGTTTTTCGATTCCCTACAAAATCGGAAACATTGCGATAGACCGTGCATTGTGCGACCTTGGTGCTAGCGTCAGTTTACTACCGTTGTCTATTTACAAGAAGCTTAATATTGGTGAGCTTAAGCCGACACGGATGGCGCTACAGCTAGCGGATCGATTTGTTAAGTATCCCGCAGGTATTCTCGAGGACGTTCCTTTGAAAGTCGGAGATTATTATGTCCCCGTTGATTTTGTTGTCTTAGACATGGATGAAGACTCGAAGATACCGATTATTCTGGGCAGACCGTTTTTGAACACAGCTGATGCGGTTGTACACGTTCGAGCTGGTCGTCTTACCATGAAGATAGGTGACGAGACTGTTGAGTTCACCTTAGATCACAATATGAAGCAGCCATCCACTACCGATTCAGCGTGTTATGTTGATGTACACGAGATCTTGACGCAGGAGGTCTTTGATCAGTTCCGAGACATTGATCCACTTGAAATATCCCTCCTGGCATCAGATGCGAGTATATACAGCAATTGGGAGGATATTCGGGAGCTCACACAGGCGTTAGACGATGAAACCGAGGAGAAATTCGAGCTTCTGTATTCTGACTCGACCGAGTCAGTACTTGACTCGGACCGAGTCAGATCGTTGGACCACTCCGAAACTTTGTTAGCTTCAGACTCGGTGTCACAGGGTTCTAACTCGACCGAGTCAAGTGTTGACTCG